AGCTGGGAGCTGTGCACGTGTGCTGCATTAGCTCAACCTGAGTAGCTCTGGTGTCTCTATGTGGCTACACAGAATGAAACATAACGACTTCAGATTCAGGCATCCGAGTGTTTCTCTCAGCCGTGGTGGAATCCCGGCCTTCCACAACTCTCCTGATGCTCTGCAGCACACAGACAACCTCCAGAGGGGACACATTAACATAGCATAGGAAAAGAGAAACAAAAAGGGTATTTGGAGGCAACCTTGCTTCTCTGTATGCAGAGCTTACCGCTAGCAGTTGAATCTCAGCCGCACTAAGTGGTACGAAAATAGATGTGGTTTCTAGGCCTGGACAAGTTAACGGAGCCTGACAGACTGCAGTTGTGCTGTCGAGAAACTTGGCATTACTGAAACAAAGCTTTGATTCATCCAGGGCAGGAGCACCATGAAAGTCATAGTGCGCTAAACAGCACATACAGGAAGAAGCAAATAGCTTTAAAAGTAAGATTATGTTATCACGTTTTTGACAGGACAGAGGGGAAGAAGCAGACAATTGGGATCAATCTGAGGCATTTTCCTTTTCCTCACGTTTTTTTTTGCGTAGAAGTTTGGTTTACTTGACCAAATACTTTAGACCGGCATTTTCACACATCATGTGGCTTTATCGGAAGTTTCCAAGCCAGATTCTTCCATAAGCTCTTTTCAACATCCACCTTAATGGCAGGAGCCATGAGAAGCAGCAGTAAAACACAGAGCCCCGGGGAGGCTGTCGAGGCCCAGCGCTACTCGCGGCCCCCGCCAGCATCACCGCACAGGGAGCCCAAGGATACTAGCGCAGCTGCTGCCGTCACCGCAGAAATGCCACCAAATAAATCCTCTTACTGCCCCTGCCGGGGCCACGGGACACAAGGACCCACTCTGCCCCGTCTCGCGCTACTGATGCTGGGGATAGCGGTGCCCTCTGGGAACAGCTGGAAGGCAGGTCTGACGCATCCATGGTGCTGCAAACCTACTATTACTATTATTATTATTTTCCGTGATGGGATGCGCCACACCAGCCATCGCCCATCCCAGCTAGCGACGGCGCCTCCCCATCCCGCTGCCCCGGAGCGCCCCGCGCGAGCGCGGTCCCACCTGCGGGACTCTCGGGCAGGATGGGGCTCCAGCGCAGGCGCCGCGCGCTCAGCACCACGTCGCAGCTCCC